AGTTGATTGAGGAAATGGAATGATTAAATGTCCAAAGTTCACACTCCTAACGCACACACTTTCCTCTCCCCAATTAGCTACCATGTCTGTTCCCAGTTTACCTTACAGTTCACAGGACGGTCAGCCTGTCCTGAAATACGTTGTGATGTGAGAAAATAAAAACAGTCATGGTGTGGCAACATTGCAAAGCGCTTTACTGGTAATTAACCTTGCGTGTAGTGACTGCGTATTTATAAGCAGACATTGCTATAAAGGGAGGGAGCACTGACACTCATTCCAGTTGTCTCAAAGTCTGTTAACAATAGGCTTTAAAGGGTGGTGGCGGGTGGGGTAGTGGAGAGGTAAATAAATTCTCAATCATTTGCTAAAGAATTAGTACGTTGCATGGAGCGGGGTGTATAGGGAGACCTCAGATTAAGTTCTCAAGAGCCATCCAGTTTGGGGTTAAATTCAGTGTGGTTGTGCCTGTTGTCTCTTCTATTCCTTGCTTTCTCTCTCTTCCCCCAATTGATAAACTCTCTCAATCCCTCCACCTTGCCCTCTACCTCCCTACTTATAAATCCTGCCTAAAGACCTTCCTTTTTGACCTTGCTTACGGTCACCTCCCCCCCTCCCTCTCCCCTGGCTCGGGGTCAGAATTCACCACTGTCAAGTGCTCCGAGACGCTACCCTGGGTGAAGGGCGCTATACAAATGCATTGACTGACAGGCCTTGACTGACTGAGTTGTAAAGTTTGCACTTGGGGAGGAGAATCTGTCTTTCTGGCTGTTTATCTAACGTGTTTTAGCCAGTCAGTGTTTTTGGAAATTGAAGGGTTTCACGTTGTTTATCCAGCTACAGGTAAAAGCTAATGTGCCTGCAGCTGCTGTTGTAATGAACAGATGAGAGCTTTAGTATATATAGAATAACAGCTAGTTTGGAGGCAAGGTCTATGCGGTTGGCACACTATCAAAAAAAAACGTACTGCAGACAGAAACATACTCTTGTGGTTTTAGACTTTAATCCGATTTCCACGATCGTGTTTCAATCTTTCATTATTAATATGGCTATTATCTTATGTAATCCATGTTAAAAAAAAATTGTGTGTACTTTAATTTGTAAGTTTGCTGTTTAACAATAGAGGTGACAAGACTAGGCCTGTCTGTCAGAGAGCTACCTGGCTGATTGGCAGTGTTTGAGGTAAGAGCACTAAGAGACAGACTGTACTGAATTTAACCACAAACTCAATGACTGCATAAAAGGTGAATAATTTGCCTTGGAAATAGACCTGGCTGAGGGAACTTTGATAGAGGTTTTATAAGATTCGCCCATAAAATATACAGTCAATTCACTTTACAGTATATTCCGTGAAGGGCTTTGAGACGTCTCAAAGACGTGATCAGGCGCTATATCAAATGCAAGGATTATTATTATTATGGTTAATGGGATACGGAAAGTGAACTCAAAACAATATACTAAGCTACACCCAACCAGCAGAACAAGAGAGTGCAGGGTCAGGTTGTGAAGGGCAAGTTTAGAGCAGACATTGAGAAGCGTTATGTTTTTACAGATGGTAATCAACAGTTGGAACAGGTTAGCAGGAAGGGTGGTGGAGGTTACAAGAAAGATTGATTTTAAGAAACCGCTTGATGCTGTGATGGGAAGACGGGCGGGTATTTTGGAAAGGATGAGCTCAAATGTAGCCGGAAGGGCCCTCTTCATCAGAACCTTGTTCCCTCATTAGAAATGTTATAAACATTATGTGACTCATTGTCATCTGTTCCAGGGGATTGCTGTCTTGTTCTTGGGCCACCAAGTTAATGAACGTCCCATCCCGCAAGCTTTATTTGCTGTGGTTAACCTGGTATGGTTATTGTGTACAAAATTTTTCCTTTGATTCACTAAATCCCCTCCTTGAAAAGGAAGCTTCTCATGTTGCCCTCGACAGTGTCAGGAGTGGGTTCTTTGCTTCAGTATTCATCATAATAATATTAATAATAATATCCTTGTATTGGATATAGTACCTTATCACGTCATCGAGATGTCTCAAAGTGCTTCACAGCATATACTGTAACAATTTCATTGCGTTGGAGTGGGAGAGAAAGGAATATGTTAAGTGCGACAGACAAGACAATCAAATGTGGAATTGAAAACTATTAAAGCAACCAAAAAGAAGTGTTCAGAGATTTCAACAACTTCTCAACACAGTATTCATGTAAAACTTTTAAAAAAAAGTAAGTGTTAATTTATTTGCAGGATGTTCAAGCTTGACTTTTTTTTAAAAAAGTCAAATATAGAGATTCATTTCTTAAGCAAACAAAGCTTGCAAGTGCTTTACCAAACTCTAGCTAAGCCACGTCCTGAAACCTTCCACAAGCTGTTGCTCCATTCGGGAACCTTATCGAACCAATCTGGGTTCAGTCCCGGAAATATACATTTTCTTTATATTAAAAAAAATTAGTCTCACTCCTTTTTTTCACTGTCTTCAGTTGTGTTGAACAGCCAGACTTCCACGTAAATGTTTTTTTTTCTAATATCATATGAATGATTGAAACGGAATTGTGTTCAGATCAAAATTTCTGTTCACTTGAGAGTGGAATGGAAATCTTTTCTTCTCTCCTCCCCCTGCGATATTCTACCTTATTTCCAAAGATGCTCACTAATTTGGGGCTTCATTTCTACAGTTGCCACCAGCTTTCTGATGTGCGATCGGAGTGCCTGTCTTATTCGAAAAAGTAAATTGGCCGGCAGGTTATTCAGCGATTGGGGCACATCACTGTGTGTGTGAGAGTAAGAGAGACTTTATCTCTCTCTCTGCACACACACACACACATGGACATTGTAGCAATCAGCTGAAGGACCTCTGACATACTCCCATACGCTTCTAAAGGCAATTATGGCCATTATAATGCTGCTGGCTTTGAGATCAGCTAACTCAGTGGAGACCAAGGAGGATCAAACCCACGACCTTCCTGAGATATTGGCAACATCTCGCATTATTCACTGACGTGACCTCCTGATCAAATCTCTTCATGCTATTTCACCTCCCACCCCCTCCCCCCACACCAGGCCATCATCCCATCATCCACCCTGGTGAGGTAATGTGTTGGGAATCTTCTGTTTGCTTTACGGGTGTGGCGATATGTGAACTCCATTGCAATGAAGAGATTTTCAAATGAGACTCGTTTTCGACGGGAGCTGCCTCTCTTTTCTCTTGGTGCGGTGACTGACGAAGGTTTGAGCATTGGTGACCAGACGTGTGACTCTTTGGCAGAGCTTGTTTGCCATGCGGGAAAGAACAAACAAACCCAGCAGAATGCTAAAACCCTCTTACATAACAGGATGTACAGTAAATGCAAATAAAGCTGTTTATCTTATCACAAGAAACGAGAGGGATTGTTGACCAAGCACCACATGCCCTTAATTGTCTTCTCCCTCGCTGCAAGTCCATCTCTCCACTGGCGCAGACCTGTGCAGGGCACAGCAGATCGTTTCTACGGCAACACTGATGCGCACTCTTGTTGTTCAAGCACCACAAATGTTAAGTGCTGTTAACCGTGCTGCTTTTTTTCCTTTTCCCCCACTTGCCCCTTTGGTGCGGTCTGCCACTGTTAAATAAACGACACCCCGTGGCTGTTTGTTACCCAGCAAGTGCATCTGACCCTGCAGGAGATGGCATTTATAAAATGGCATGACAACACAGTGTGCTATTTGTGTCTGTTTTGGCTCTAGGATAGCCAGTGGGGTGTGTACCGTAAAATAGAAGCAACCTCAAGCTTTGGCTTTGCAGGTAGACTTTGCGTTGTGCTTCGAGGCTGTGGTACAGAGCAGTAGCTTTAGCGTAACCTTGTGGAGGAAAAATACGAGTGTTGAAATGTGAGCAGAAACATGTGGATTTGAAATCCGGCACTGACTGTAAGGTGACCCCTTTTGCCATCTCACATTTCGTGGATAAAGGACCGTTTACACCAGTGATGCCAACATGAAAGCCACCAGTCTGTGTTTTTGCAATGACTTTGGTGCAGTTTTATGGTGCAGTTTATCCAAACTTTTATCCCAGTTTAGCTCAATTGGCAGGACTATCTGGTTCAGGAGGCTGGGTGGCGTTCAATCCCCCACGTCGGGTCTCGGTAATAATAATCTTGGCATTTGAAATAGCATCTTATCACATCGTTGACTACTTCTCAAAGGGCTTCACAGGGTTTACTGTCAATTGTAGTGACTGTGCACTTTGTAAGTGAACTTGGGCTGAGACTGCAGCGCAGGCCTGGGGGAGCAATGAATTGTCGGATGTGGAAAATGAAGAGAAAAGTAGGTCAAGTCTCGCAGAGCTGCAGTGCATCACCACCTGTGTATGGGTTGTATCATTCCATAAATCAATATTATGGAAGTAGAAATTGCTAATGGTTTAAGAAAGCATCTGGATGCTTTCTGCATCTGGTTTTCCCCTTTCTCCACCCCACCCTCCTCCCAACTTTTCACAAATCCAAAGCCTGCTCCGTGAGTTGTGGGATAGGAAGGGACAGGGAAAGAAATGCTTTCAGCAAAACCTGTTTACTTTTTCAATGAAAATCATACCTATTGATGTTTAAAAGGTTCACCAGTCAGAGGCGTGTCATTCCAGAGTGAACCCAAAGACCTGAGCTGTTAAACCAGCTCTGTCAGAGTTCATCAGTGCTCCTAAAGTGCACCGTCTCATCACAAAATGCACAGAGGCAGGACCCAGAGACTCTGGTTCAATGATTGAGTAAAAACAGCAGAAACTTTTTGCCCTGCAGGAAGTCAGGAAGAAGATGGGTGGGTGGGTGGGGGGGAATGAGGAAGAGAGAAATGTATGTGTGTGTTTCAGTCTGATTGCGTAAAAGCTTTTCTGTTGTAATTTTAGCACGTGTTTCTAAAGATACGGTAAATATAGTTTGCAGATGCAGGGTTGCTCAACTCCTCGAGTATTTGTTTGACTTGTTGTTTTGGTCTCTGCCATTGTTCGCTTCATTTTCTTTTTGCTTTTCTCTCCTCCACAGTTTGTCAAAGTATTGACATCCGAAACAACATAACCCTTTTCCACCGATTGAGAAACTGCACCGTCATCGAGGGCTACCTGCAGATCCTACTGATGTTCCAGACGAAGACAGAAGATTTCCGCGGCCTGAGCTTTCCCGAGTTGACGATGGTCACCGATTACGTGCTCCTCTTCCGCGTCTACGGCTTGGAGAGCTTGAAAGATCTCTTCCCCAACTTGACTGTGATCCGCGGCACTCGCCTGTTCTTCAACTACGCCCTGGTCATCTTTGAGATGTTGCACTTCAAAGAGATCGGCCTGTACAATCTGGTCAATATCACCCGAGGGGCGGTGAGGATCGAAAAGAACCCAGAGCTCTGCTATCTCTCCACACTGGACTGGTCCAAGATCCTGGATTCCGTAGAAAACAACTACATCAAGTCGAATAAAGTGGATCAAGAGTGCGGGAACGTGTGCCCGGGGGCCCTGCAGAGAAAGTACAGCTGCCCACAAACCGTGTTCAACGATCAGTTCACCCAAAGGTGTTGGACCAGCGAGCACTGCCAGCGAGGTAGGAGTGCGTCAGCAAACTGCAGCTTAATGTTAGCACCATGTGAATCTGCAGCTTTATAGGCTACTGCTTGTCTCCTTCAAGATCCTCCTCTTCGACCCACATCTTCGGTCACCCTCCTTCCCCTCCCCGCCCTCTACCCCTCCTGATCCCAACCACCAGCTCAGGTGCGGATCCCTTACTGTCCAGCACCTTGGGACATCCTCCTGATGTGAAAGGCGCTGTGTAAATGTAATTTGTTGTTGTTGTTAAATGTTTAGGCGTTTAGAGACTTATTATAGGTCCGTACAGTTGCCTCAAAGAACTTCCCAAAAGATTCCTCCAACACATCAATCAGTCGATCAAGTAAACCCTTGAATCATTTTAATTTTTGTGAACATGTCTAGTTCCTTTTTTTTAAACAGTTCATAGTTCCTTGTTCCACAACCTGGTAGTCGGTTCCACATGTCCATTGCACATTTACTCAAACCATTTCTCCCACACTTCTTAACTCCCGTTGAATTGAGGAAGTTGGTACTATTGATGGTGTATTGTTGAGTGGTCACACTCACCCTACTGGGCTCTTTAATTACATTGAAAAACACTCCCTCCCCAACCCCACACACATACACACAATTCTGGTGTCAAATGCGCACACTTGAGGTGATTCCGGTCTCTTCTGAAGAGTAAAATTGAAGGACGCCACTTCCACAATGGGCCGTGTTTCAGAAGTGAAGTATTTGGATTCCTTGTGAATAAAATGCAAGTGGTCCACCATTCCTTCTCATTCGCCCTGTTCTTCCATAAAGACACAATTGCTGGTAATTCAGACTCTTTACGAGTGTCAGTTGCCTTTCCCGTAACCATTTTCCTTCACCACCACCCCAGCCCCCAATGGTGGCTTTCGTGAAATGGACCAGTTAATGATGAAACCTTTAGTGTTAGGAAAGCAGTGGTAAGTGGTTGGTCTGTAACTTAGAGGTTGCCTGTTGAGGTTTGTAGTTGTGGCGCTGTCCATATCACTTGCAAGTAATGTGCTGCAGACACAAGCATGGTACATATAAGGCAAGCAGTTCATGTCGTGTGAACTCACCCACACGAAACTCCGCTCCCCGATCTCCCCAGTCCTGGCCAGACTGCACTGGCTGCCTATCCCAGAGAGGATGATTTCAAGATCCTCACCCTTGTACTCAAGTCCCTGCACTCCTCTGCACCCCCCGACCTCTCTGACCTCCTCTCTCCTCAAAACAGTGCCCGTTCCCTCCGTTCTTCCGGGTCTGGCCTCTTCCTCGTCCCCCGAGTCCTCCGCTCCACCCTCGGTGGCCGTGCCTTCAGCCACTATGCCCCGAGGCTCTGGATCTCTCTTCCTCACTCTCTTCGTCTCGCTCCCTCCCTTCCCAATTTTCAGGTCTCTGCTGAAGACCTTTCTTTTCGATTGCGCCTTTGGTCACCTGCCTCCCCCTCCCCCCGGCTCGGTCCCGGGATCTGTGATTGTAAAGCACTCTGACGCGCCATCCGGCGTGGAGGGTGCTATATAAATCCAAGTTGTTGTTGTTGTTGAACTTGCTGTGCAAGAGCAGTTTGCATACAATGATGTGTGGCTTGTCACCATGTTTGTTCAGTGAGTAACTGAGCCACCCGGGTGCTGGTACTGGTCAGCTGATGTGAGATGCCAAATGATTTTTCTATGAATCATAAGGGTTTTTTTAATATTAGGAAGCACGCAGTGAGTCAGGTTGTTATATTAAGAAGAGGATAAGGGCTTTGCTCAAACAGTAACAAATATAATGGTTGAAAACAGATGGAATACGTAAGAGAATAGCCGAGTCACTCTTAAATTATCTGCTTAAATTAGTGCTTCAACATGAGTTTTAAGCTTGTAAAATTTTGTTGGACTAAAATTAAGACATTCGGGTAAAACTAGTGGAATTCCGTACTTGCATGATCACGTTGGATGCATTACGAAACATCGCTAATTTATCCCTATTGTTTCTGAAAGTGGCTCAGTTTTATCTCTTCTAAAGTTATCGGACTGGAATAGGAAATGATTTGGCTTTTGTTTATTGTTCAGGAGAAGTCTTGTGCTTTTAGTTGACACAAAACCTGCTCACTCCCCACTACCTCACAGCTGCACTGCGCAGAGTCACCCCGTGTGAGTTGGCCTTTTCTTCTCTCTTGTAAGTTTACATTCTTTTGCATTTTCTGTTCAGCAGAGGAGATTGCAAAAGTGCACCAGCTCTGAGCTCGTCTATCTCTGAAGTTTGGAGGCATTTGGAAGATACGAGAAGCAGATTCTTGAAAGTGCTGTGTACTGTTGAGTAAACATTCCTCATGTTAGCTGATTTTTCTCTTGTAATCTACCCCTGGAGTTTTATGAAACTTTATTCTTAAAGATTAGGTAGAATATATTCCATAATCTAATTTTGTATTCTTTGAGAAATGTTTCCTGAATCCAGTTAACTTGATGGAGTGGGGGAAACCAGAACGGCTGCTCTTTGAGAGCTCAAGTCACGGGGTGAAGGATGCCAGTCATTCCTACTTGCACACTCACCTCTAAAACTCTTTTGTTATTCCGTATCTCCTGCTTGAGGAGGAAGAGGGAGACCATTGGTTATAATTCCAATAATAATAATCCTTGCATTTGATATAGCACCTTGTCACGTTGTTGAGACGTCTCAAAGCGCTTCACAGAATATACTGGATTGACTTACTATATTTTATTTTTACCCTATTTAATTTTTTTTCTCCTTTTTTGTTCCTCTCCTCTCCAACATTCGCTCCTCTACAACTCTCTCAACAATAACAAATTTATTTTGTATAGCGCCTTTCACGTCAGGAGGACGTCCCAAGGCGCTGAAATGTCAGGGATCTACAATTTCTGTTTTTTCAATTTATTCCTCATTCCCACTTCTCCTTTTTCTTCCCTTCCTCTTTTTTTGACTCTCTCTCTCTCTCATTTCTCCTTTTCTTTCTCTGCCTTCGCTATGTATAATACTATGCAGTCCCTGTCCCAGTTCAGCTCTGTCCCAGATCAGATTAGATGATGCTTTTTTCACTAGAGTGATGAATTGTGACCATCTCCAGTTGCAATCCAGATGGCTGTGGTCATCACATCCTATGTTAAACAAAGTGCAAAAAAAATGTGGTCACTCAATCCACGACTGTTTACGGGACACTGCTGTGCGCAATTGGCTGCTACGTTTTGCCCACAAAATATACAGTCAACTAACTTTATAGTATATTCTGTGAAGCGCTTTGAGATGATTCGAAGACATGACAAGGTCCTGTGTCAAATGCAAGGATTCTTATTCTTATTTATGTCATTTCTACCCCCGCGTATCATATTTCTGTCGCTCCACCCCACATCTTTCTGTTTCAGTGTGCTAATTGTTTTACATTGACCAGGAGACTCCCAACAACTCTCTAGCTGGAAGGGTTACCTCAGACGTATCGAAAGCATTAGGTTGAAAAATGTTGAGGAGAGCCCTTGGGAGCCCTTGGGACTTATTTTGAACTCAAAAAGTTTAAGATTAACAATAGAAAAAACAAACAAGGAAACTCGGGAATCAATTACTGTTGGGTCCAATTGTAGATCACAAATGTTATCCATAAAGCCCCTGTTTTTGAAGGGAATGAGGTAATGATTGTGAAGAGCTGGAACAGCCTCTCCACAGAGATCATTGGCTATCCAATGGCATCTGGCATGCATTATTCCGCCAGGAGAAGCCAAGACGTGGGGGAAAATGCTGTCTCCATTGCATGTGCCCGCCAAGCTATTGTAACTGTTAACGGAGCCTTGTAAACCCTTCTGCCCTGACTCTGTATTCTTTCTAATTTTCTGAAGGCAAATCGTGTGTTTTTAGGTTGGAACAAATGCTGACTTAGAAAATTTCTGTCTTCGATTGGGATTTGCACCTCAAATCTGTAGAGAAGACTATTCTAATGTACTCCTGTCCAGCCTTCCTTATTCCACCATCCACAAGAACCAGCTGATCTAAAACTGCTGCCCACATTCTTATCTGGACCAAACTTCGCATCCCAATCCTCGCCAGGCCCCCTTGTACCACTATCGGTGGCTGAGCCTTCAGCTATTACTCCCTAACCTCTGGAACCCTGTACCTCTTAACACTCTGTCTCACCCCTCTCTTATCTCAACTTCACCAATTTCTGAGTAAATGTGATGGTTCCTGAAATTGCTTGTCTAAAGATGATTCCAATACTTTAGTGTGGATGTAGTTTTTAATGGTGGGACATCACATAACCCATCTCTTCATTGATAAGTCACTGCAATAAGCAAGAAGTTAATCGTACGTTTCAAAATCACTTGCCTAAATCTCAGCCTCTCCCTCATTTTGGTAGATATTCATTCTATCAAGTTAATCTCTGTTGTGAAGATACTTATTGCATTTCAGTGTCAATCACAATCGTCAATCGTATCAAGTTTCTGCTCAAAAGTTATTTCCCCAATGTGCATCCAATTGCATAGAATTCACTTTAAATCCTAATTAGTTTTTCTGGAGTTGCCCCACGTTTTGTCCTCTCTATTACTAACTGCATCTCAAACCTCCTGCCCCTGGCTTTTATTGTGCACCTCAAGCCGTTTGCTTTGTGCTACTTGTGTTGGTCCCTTGTTTATATGGGCTTCTGTATATGAAGTGCATATTCAACAGATGCTATTTGAAAGGAACAGCAGCGAAATCATTATCAAATCATTAAAATAATAGATAAAAGCCGTGTTCAAAGAGCGCAAAGCAGCAACGATAACTTGGAGACTGTTGCTAAGAGGTTTTTGCATAAAAGCAATTAGCTGCTGCAGTGGTTTATTGCTTTTAATTTATTTTTTGAAATAAAAGGTTATGACGTCAGAACAGTTACTTGATGAAAAGCGTGGGGTTTTGTTCGATGAGGTGGACTGAGAGCATTAGGGGATCAACACTGATTATCCACTATTCAGCAGAAGTTGTCTATAAAAATGGCATGTTTAAAGACAAGGAACCACTGGGGTAAAATCTCACCTGGGT